GACTTGATCACGGCGGTTTGGCATTATCAAAACCTGTCATAAAAACAAACACGGCTTTAGTACGAAAACGTGACATGCCCGTGTTTCAACAATTTCCCCCTTTTTGATAATGGCAAACGAGATGAGGTTATGCATATGAGGAAGTCTTTGAGATTTTAAAAAAGTGTTCCCCCTTAATAGATGCCATTTTATTTGAAAATATAATTCCCCCTCAATTTATGCATAACCTTGATATCTTCTCCCTTTTGACATTAACAAAAAGAATTAAAAGTGAACTTTGGAGTATAAAAGTAAACTTTTATTCATGAAAAAGGAGAAAATGCGGAATACAACGGAATGGAAATAATAATAAAAAAACAATCATAGGAAGGAAGGAAAAGAAAGAAGAGTTTAGGCAGCGGCGTCCTCATCCTCGGCGTCATCGTCTTCTTCGTCGTCCTCAACGTCCATGGGATCCCCGTCGACCGCGTCCTCAAAATCGGCCTCGTCGGGGGAGGAGGACGGAGCATAGGAGTCATCCTCCTCGTCCTCGCCTTCATAGTTTTGGCCGAGGATGGTGCTGTCAAAGGGCGGCGGGACATAGTTGATGCCACGGAAGAACGCTGTCATGTCATGGTGTTGATGTTGCAGCGTCCAATCCATCCGCTCGATTGACTGCCCCATGCCATCCACTGTGAGGGTTAGCCGATTCAGAGTATCGGCTATGGACTGTAAGGACGCCTTGGCGGGAGCGGAGGTAGGGGCAGGGGCACGGGCACGACTCGGTCCAGCGCCGGTTCCGTCACCGGACTTCTTCCGGAAGGTGCTGTCTTGGATGATCCAAATCTTTGTCATCTTCGTATCTGGGCCGGCGATGGAGATGTCGGCGGAGATGATGAGGTCCATGACGAGGAAGGCGTATGGCAAGCTCCGCTCAGTGGCGATGGAGGCGCAATTCGCCATGTGAATCATGACGTATTTTGCCCAATTGATCGAGGCGCCGTGGGTGATAGCATGAACCGCCTTGAGATCCTCGTTGAAGAGACATGTGTGGCTACCGTCCCGGGGGCGAAGAATCCGGGTGAGGATGTAGAGAAGAAGACGCTTCTCCGGCGGGGCTGAGTGGATTGTTGGTGCGCCGCTGTGACGGATGAGG